AGGGGTGTGGAAGAGGGCCACCTGGGCTAACTGTGCGCACGCGCGCACCCGCACACAGGGGTGTGGAAGAGGGCCACCTGGGCTAACTGTGCACATGCGCACACCCGCACACACAGAGAGAGAGAAACAGAGACAGAGAGAACATTAAAATGCCTGTTGATTTTTTTGTTTTTTTTGCTTGTTTGGGGACTTGAACTCAAGGCCTCATGCTTTCACTTGACTGACTTGCTTGTTTATGGCTCCATACTGCCAGTCTGGCTTTCTACAGACTGAAGATGGAGTCTCTCAAAAGGGCTTCTCGCCGGGCACCAGTGGCTCACACCTGTAATCCTAGCTACTCAGGAGGCTGAGATCTGAGGATCACAGTTCAAAGCCAGCCTGGGCAAGAAAGTCTGTGCGACTCTTATCTCCAATAAACCACTCAGAAAACCGGAAGTGGCGAGCTATGGCTCAAGTGGTAGGGAGCTAGCCTTGAGCTGAAGCACCCAGGCCCAGAGTTCAAGCCTCATGACCACCACCAACAACAACAAAAAGGGCTTCTCTGCCCAGGCTGGCTTCAGTGATCTTCTATGTCAAGCCTCCTGAGTAGCTAGGGTAGCAGTCATGAACCACCAATACCCAGCAGGATTGTTTTTTTTGGGGGGGTCTGGTTGTGGGGCCTGAACTCTGAGCCTGGGCTCTGTCCCTCAGCTCTTCAGCTCAAGGCTAGCGTTCTACCACTTGAGCCACAGTGCCACTTCTGGCTTTTTTTTCTTTTTTTGCTTATGTGGTGCTGAGGAATCGAACCCAGGGCTTCATGCATGCAAGGCAAGCGCTCTACCAGGATTTTTTTTTTTGAGGCAGGGTCTTGCTGTGTAATGAAGTCGGGCCTGAAAGTCACTTTGTAGCCCACGCTGGCCTCCTGATCCTTCTGCCTTAGCCCCCCAAGTGCTGGAGTTGTAGTTGTGTGCTGCTAATTATATACTTCCCTGCGTTTGAACTCAGGAGCTTATGCTAACTAGGCAGCTGTTCTGCTACTTTAAGCCATACCATAGGTTTTGTGAAGTTCTTCCTATGGATTGCTTATGGAGAAAGATGACGACAACTGGAACCAAGGCAGTGGTAGCGCAGATGAAGTGGGATGGATTAAGAGTATGTTGTCCTTTGGGGTCTGCCAGTTAGTGTTGGCCTTGTGATTTCACACTGTTCTCTCACACCCTGAAGTTCTAGGATGGCTTTTCCCTTGGCCCCAGTAAGCACTCACCACATGTGGCTCATGACCTCTCCTCCTTTCCAGGATCTCATGGTGCGGAATGACTCCCCCTGTGGTACCACCATTGGCCCTATCTTGGCTTCTCGGCTGGGGCTGCGGGTGCTGGACTTAGGCAGTCCCCAGCTGGCCATGCACTCCATCCGGGAGACAGCCTGCACCACAGGTGTACTCCAGACCCTCACCCTTTTCAAGGTAACTCCCACCCAACTCTCCTCTCCATCACTAAGTACCTGGCGTAGATGCTAGGGCATGCAGTGTGGGAAAGCAGGGCTTGTGTTAGCTGTCCATTGCTGTAGCAACATGACCAAGATAAACAGTTTGTAAAGAGGAAGAGTTTATTCTGGCTCATAGTTTTGGACCAATTAGCCCACAGCATACATGGGCATACATGGTGGAGGCAGCAGCTCTCTGTGATGACCAGGAAGTGAAAGAGAGACGGGAAATGACCAGGGTTCTGATAGTCTGTTCAAGGTCATGCCCTACCCCAATGACTTAACTTTCTCCCACTAGAACTCTTTTAAAAGGGCTCACCTTATCCAACACCTTACAGTAGTGTCATAGGCTGTTAGCTAAACATACTGGTCTATGGGAGACACTCATCAAAACCACATTGATCCCCTAGTTTTAAGTCCAGGAGCCCTAATGTGCTCCTGAAGAAAGGGACAGGAGAGGAAACAAGGGATAGAAAGTGGAGCAGTCATTAAGCCTAGAAACTGATGGGGGAATACCTCACCTATGTCTGGCCACTCATTAATTTCTAACCCCACATTGCCTCCTACTTTAGGGCTTCTTTGAGCTGTTCCCTTCTCTGAGCCGTAACCTCTTAGTGGATTGAGGCCTCTTGGCAAGACTTCTCCTCCACCCCTTTGTACTGGAGAGGAATGTTCTGAGCTGAGCTGAAGCTAGATTATTAAAGTGGATTTTTCATTCACCTTCTATTGTGCTTATTTGGAAACTTGGGGTTGAGGGTTGAGCCTGGCTTGAACCTCCAGAATCAGAGCATCAAAAGAAGTTGGGGTACTCATTACCTTGCTCATGTAATTGTAGCCCCTCTATACAGTATTTTCACAATAAAAAAATTATTTAAAAAATCAAAAAAAATAAAAAGAAGCTGGGGTAGATGATAAATTCCTAGAAGCAAAGTTCAGGAATTACAGGTACCTATTTAAAACGTTGGTAAATATTGTCTTGTCCCTAGGAGTTTGAAATCTTAGAAGAGGAAATACCAGCCCCCAAGCACCTGTTCTCAGCCCACCGAGACCAGAATCTCCCTTTTACACAGGAGTAGCTATTTGGATTTTTAGCTATTTTGATTCTCATACTTTTTTTTTTTTTGGATAGTTAAACTCATTTTTAAAACAGTTTAAAAATTGTTAGGGGCTGGGAATGTGGCTCAGTGGTATAGCGCTTACCTTGCATGCCTGAGGCCCTGGGTTCGATTCCTCAGCACCACATAAGCAAAAAGAAAAAAGCCAGAAGTGGCGCTGTGGCTCAAGTGGTAGAGCACTAGCCTTGAGCTGAAGAGCTGAGGGACAGCACCCAGGCCCAGAGTTCAGGCCCCACAACCGGATCCCAAAAAAAGAAATTATTGTTATAATGGTGTTGTACAGAGGGGTTACAGTTATAAGTTAGGTAAAGAGTATGTTTCTTTTTGGACAGTATCACCTTTTTTGGTCCTGGACTAGAACTCATGGCCTTCAGGGCACTGTCTCTTAAGCTTTTACACTCAAGGTTAGCTCTCTACCACTTTGAATCACAGCACCACTTTCAGTTTTCTGGTGGTTAATTGGAGATAAGAGTCTCCTGGACCTTCCTGCCTTTGAACTGTTGTCCTTAGATCTCGGCCCTCCTGATCCTGAGTAGCTAAGATTATAGGTGTGAGCACCAGCACCCAACTATCTCACAGACTTTTTATTTCTCACAATTTTTTTTTTTTTTTGGTTGGTCATGGAGCTTGAACTCTGGGCCTGGGCTCTGTCCCTGTCCTCAGCACGAGGCTAGTGCTCTACCATTTGAGTCGCAGCACCACTTCCAGTTTTCTGGAGGTAAATGAGAGATAAGAGTCTCACAGACTTTTCTTGATCTCAGCCTCCTGAGGAGCTAGGATTACAGGCGTGAACACCACCATCTGGCTTCCTCACAGACTTTTTAAGAAATTAAAATTTTGTCACAGCTTGTCCAGTCTAAGAAACATAAGATGTTAGGTTGATTTGCGCATAACCCAGGCTCAGGGACACTTCCTTTTCCAAAGACAGCCAACTCTAGCCATGGACTGGTCATATTCATTTGTACCTTGTTTGACTAGATTGATTACTCTGGAAAGCAGACACACAAGATTCTTCAGCATAAACGTCTTTCTCCTTCATCTAGCATTTCTGGAGCCCAGAGCCTATAGCTTCTTCCCTTGGGTTCCTTATGGGGTGGGTTGGAGGTAAATTACACAGAAATTTTAAAGATGATTGGTTACCTCATTCATTCATGGATACTAGGGAGCACCAGGCAAGTCTTAGGAGTGGAAACACAATGGAGATGAGGTACACATCCCACCCTCAATAAGTTTGAATGAGGATCTGATTTTTCACTTTCCACATTGTAGCCCTTTTGCTGACCTGCTGTGTCATGGACAAAATCATTTGACCCACTGGTCTTCAAGGTTCATGTCACTTTTCCAATCTCATTAGGCTGCCTTCCTACATTTGGTCCATCCTCCAAATTCTATCCTCCTGATTTCAGTCTTCCACAAAGCGAGGGTGACAGGCACACATCATGACACCCAGCTATGGATTGAGGAGTCTCTCAAACTTTTCTGCCCAAGCCAGCCTCCAACTGCAGTCTTTCCCTCTCAGCTTTGGAAGTATCTAGGATTACAGGTATGACCCACCAACACCTGGCAAAACAACATTTTATACAGAAACTATTTACAACCAGCAGACACTAAAGGGAACTGAAGCACAGAAGGAAATTGTCCTTTAGATGCAAGAAGGTGAAAAAAATATTGGTAAACATGTTGGTAAATTTAAGTAGCTAGTAAATGTATAAAGTAACATTGATGCTTACAAGCTTTACAGTATATGTAATTAATGACCGCATCATAAAGCTCAGGAGAGGAAAACAGGTTCAAATGTACTGAGTTTCTTACAATCTCAAAATGAAGAAATTCAATCTATATTGTGCTTAAGTCAAGGGTACATACTAGAGTTTCAAGGAAAATCACTTAAGGAATTAAAGAGTATACTGCTTCTGTAACAAATCAATCAGACCTTTTGGCCTTCTGCCAAAGACACCAAAATCCTAGCTCAGGACCTGTCAATGTGGAGATTATTTGGCAACAGGGTCTTTGCACATGATAGAGTTAAGATGAGGTCATGAGGATGGGCTGCAATCCAGGATGACTGGCCTTTTAAAAGAGAAATTTGGCCAGGTGGCTCATGCCTGTAATCCTAGCTACTCAGGAGGCTGAGAGTTTAGGGTCATGGTTCAAGCCAGCCTAGACAGGAAAGACTGAGACCCTTATCTCCAACTAAACACCAAAAAAAAAAAAAAAGTAAAAAGAAGAAAAAAATTTGGACAGAGACAGCCACAGAGGGAAGATATACAGATAAATGGAGAATGCCCTGGGAAAACAGGATCAAGGTGATGCAGCTACAAGCCAAGCTAAAGACTGCCAATAAACCACCAGCAGCTAGGAAACAGTAAGGAGCAATGATAAGCCCACAGCCCACAGCTCCCTATGAACCATGGCACTATGGGCAACTCAGTTTTGTATTTCCAGCCTCCAGAATTGTGAATCAATACATTTCTGTTGTTTTTAGCCACCCACTTGGTAGCACTTGGTTGTAGTAGCCTCGGAAACCAATTCCACTTCAGACTAATTGAGTGGAAAATGGAATAATAAAAAAGATTCAGTCCATTCTGCGACTTGAGATGGTTTAGTAAAACCATATATGTGTATGCATGTGTGTCATGTAAACATAGTAAACTACGGACTTGCAGTGGAAGAGCATTGACTCCAGGTAGAAAGGTAGATGACAGGTGTTCATTTTACTATTCAAGTTTTATGTACACTCAAATATTTTTATACTAAAAATGTGAATTTAGATAAGCTAAAGCAATAGAAAGCACTTAGTAAAATGGTAGAAATGCAAATCCATCTTTTTATATATTAAGAATAAGCAGACTAAGCTAGGCACCAGTGGCTCATGTGTCTGAGATCTGAGGATTGCAGTTCAAAGCCAACCAGGCAAGAAAGTTCATGAGACTCTGATCTCCAATTGCCACCAAAAAGCTGGAAATGGAGCAGTGGCTGAAGTGGTAGAGTGCCACCCTTGAGTGAAAAAGCTAAGGGACCCAAGCCATAAGTTCAAGCTCCAGTAGGACACACACACACACACACATACACACACTCAGTCAGGCATTGTAGCTCATGCTTATAATCTCGGCACTGGGAGCTAAGGCAGGAGATCATTGGTTCAGGACAATCTTGGGCTATATAACATGACCCTGTTTCAAAAAGAAAAGGAAAAAGTAGACTGTTTTTGTTTTTGTACCAGTCCTGGGGCTTGAACTCAGGGCCTGGACAGTGTCTCTGAGATTCTTTTTCTCAAGGCTAGTGCTCTACCACTTGAACCACAACTCCACTTTTGGCTTTTTTTGGTAGTTTAGTGGAAGATGAGTCTCATGGACTATGGTGTCTGGGCTGGCTTTGAACTATGATCCTTACATCTCAACCTCAGGATTACAGGCATGAGCAAGTGGCTGTTAAGAAAAGAATTTAAACAAGAACAGAGAAGAATAGGATAAAGAGTTAAAAAGATTGTCAGGGCTCGGAAGGTGGCTCAGTGGTAGAGTGCTTGCCTCCCATGCATGAGGCCCTGGGTTTGATTCCTCAGCACCACATAAGCAAAAAGAAAAAGCTGGAAGTGGCACTGTGGCTCAAGTGGTAGAGCGCTAGGCTTGAGCTGAGAAGCTGAGGGACAGCGCCCAGGCCCAGAGTTCAGGCCCCACGACCAGACCCAAAAAAAAAAGATTGTCAGATTGAAAGTTAAAAATCTAGGGGCTGGGAAGGTGGCTCAGTGGTAGAGCGCTTGCCTTGCATGCCTGAGGCCCTGGGTTCAATTCCTCAGCACCACATAAGCAAAAAGAAAAAAAAAGCCAGACGTGGCGCTGTGGCTCAAGTGGTAGAGCGTTAGCCTTGAGCTGAAGAGCTGAGGGACAGCGCCCAGGCCCAGAGTTCAGGCCCCACGACCGGACCCAAAAAATAAATAAATAAAATGAAAGTTAAAAATCTAGCTATTTATAAGAACCATACCGAAATACCTAAAAATAAAAGAATTACAAAACACTCTGTATTTGATCAATTTTTAAAATGCAACAATTTCATATACAAAAACTTAAGATTCTTTATCTGAATGTTTTTTATTTGTTTTGGTGGCTCTAGAGGTCTTCACACTTGCTAGGCAAGTGATTTACCACTTGAGCCACTCCCATCAGCCCTTTTATTTGTGTTGGTTGTCTTTTTTTTTTTTTTATCTGTATTGGGGCTTGAACTCTGGGCTGGGAGCTGTCCCTGAGCTCTTCAGCTCAAGGCGAGAGCTCTACCACTTGAGCCACAGCACCACTTCCGGTTTTTCCGTGGGTAATTAGAGATAAGAGTCTCACCGACTTTCCTGGCCTGGCTTCAAACCACAATCCTCAGATCTTGGTCTCCTGAGTAGCTAGGATTACAGGTGGGAGCCACTGTCACCCGACATTGGCTATCTTTTCAGATAGGCTTTTATGCTGTGGCTAGTTTGAACTACTATCCTCCTATTTGTGGTCCCCTGGGTAGCTGAGGTGACAGATGAGGGCTGTCATGCCCGGCCTTTGAGCTTCCTCCATAGCTGAATTGCTAGGCTCACAACTCGCTCATTGGTCACAAACCTCAATTTCCCA